AGCTAGTTCCAGAACAGCCTTCAAAGCCACAGAGAAACCCTGTCTCGAAAAAAAAAAAATCAGAAAATTCCCCTTATTAGTAGCTAATGCTGACAAATGTTGGCTATGGTTTTCATTTTAGGTGTCTGGGGTTTTAAGGATTCTATATAGAAATAAATCATATTCTCAAAAATAATTCAAATTGATGATCTCAAAAATCCTGTCTATAGAAAATATTTCCAAGTCTGCTAGCACATGATGTAGCTTCAAAAATGTCATTAAGTTGGTTTAGATTGTATACAATTTACATGTGTTTATTTGTATTTTATGAATCTCAGTGTCACAAAACTGGGTTCCTTTGTTCTGGTCAGATACTAAAATTTAAATTTAACAGATACAGTTCTTAATTATTCTGGAACACAAATTATTGGTAGTGTCTACTTAGATCCTATTATACGTCTTGAGAAGATGACATATCCCTCCTACTCCTTTCTCAAGACAAAGAAAGCTGATATAATACAGATAAGAGAGAAGCTACCTTCTGCAGCACAGTACTTTAAATTACATCATGCATAAGTAGAGAGAAAACTGGACCTACCTCTGCCTCAATCTCTGCTTGTCTTTTCTCCAAGAGTTTTGCCACAGCCATGGCCCGGTGCTTGCCAGATCTTTTGCAGCTCACAGCCCATTCACATAACAATGTCACCACAGCTTCATCATTGGGGGCAACCTAATGACCCAAGAGAAACATACCAACCATATCACAATGATGTAAGCAACGGACTACTTAAACCTTAAAGCTCTGTTCCCAAGTTTTACTAGCAGATGCTTTCAAATCATTTTAACTTAAATAGGAGAGGAAAACCTCAGAAAGGAAGGAAGGAAGGAAGGAAGGAAGGAAGGAAGGAAGGAAGGAAGGAAGGAAGGAAGGAAGGAAGGAAGGAAGAAATCACTCAAAATTCACCTGAATGTGTCAACAACTCCAAGAGTGCCAGAGTTTCCTTAAAGAAGCCTTGACACTCTAGTACTGAGTTTCAAACCCACAAAGGGAAACAACCACTGGACTCCGAGAGCAGCTGTTACAAAGTCCACACTTAACTCCACTGTTAGGTGGTCAGAATGTCGACTATGATTCCTTTGTCAGGCAATCCTATTGGGCTTTGTTATCAAATGGCCAGTGAGAAATTAGGAGAGACAAATGAGGGGGAGGCTGGAATATTGATGATGCATGCTTCATCTCACCATAAACAACCACGAAGAGGGAAAGCCAAGCATCCAAACAACTAAAAACTTCAAGCCGACCTGGTTAGCAAAGTTCCCTGGCTATATGCAGATGAGTATCAGTCCAGGGATAGACTCCAGCTACTAAGGATGAGAGGGCTTCAGGGACCTAAGGGACATGAAACATAGCTGGTGGAGTGGAGGAGTGACAGAAGAAAGACTGGGCTTCTATGTCATGCCTTTGCATATCTATGCCACCACAGCAACCTTCTGGCTACAAGACTGTAGCATTTCTCATGAGCATAAGCATTATGCCAGAAAATGTAGAGGATCACAGTATTAGCACTTAAATACAATGCTGGACACTCTTAACACGTTAGAATTCATGAGCTCAAGTATGGTTTTGATATGGCTATGGGTGCAATCCCAGGAAGCGTAATCATACACATAAACTAAGGCTTGTGGACCCTCATATGTATGAGGATTCCAGAATAAAAAAATGAATGCAGAGCTGCCAATTCTAGCAATCCATTGAAATCCTAAAAATCAATTTGCTCTGATACTCCATTTGGGAAATCTTATTTCCCTTTCCTAGCAGGTATCAGTTGCAAATGCTTCTTGGTTAGAGGTAGGATTCTGGGTCTACTGTGGTGATATATTGTTTATGATCTAATAAAGTCACTGAAGATCAGAATGTAAAACCAGCCACACTAGTCAGACGCAGAAGCTGAGCAGTGGTGGCACACAATTTTAATCCCAGGACTCAGGAGCCAGAGGCAGGTGGATCTCTGTGAGTTCAAGACCACTCAGGGTTACACAACAGTGAATCAGTCTAAAAGAGAAACAGAGCTCACACTTTTAATCCCAGCACTAAAGAGGTATATAAGGAAGAAGCAAAGGGTTTCATGTGGGCATTCAGTCTCTAGCCATGCTGAGGATTCATGGAGCCAGGATCACCCTTTTAGTCTGAGGTAGAGGTAAGAGCTAATGGCTGGCCAGCTTTGCTTCTCTGGTTTTCAGCTTGAACCCCAATATGTCCCTGAGCTGTTATTATTCGTGTTACAGTCCACTTCCCTTGTCAGTGCTGGGGTTTTGTCTGGCTTGAACCTGTGCAGATCTTGTGTGCGCTGTTACTATCTCTATGAGTTTCTACATGCACCCCATTACACCTGGAAGACACTGTTTCTCCAAAGTCATCCACCACTTCAGGCTCTTACAATCTTTTCTCTTCTTCCACATAGATCCCTGAGACTTAAGATGAGGGCTCTGATGAAGACATTCCATTTAGGACAGATTGGTCAAAGTCTCTCCTCTCTGCACAGTATGCAGTTGTGGGTCTCTGTGTTATTTCCCATCTACCACTGGGAGCATCTCTGATTGGATGGAACATTCATCTACTGCAACAGTGATATGTGACTGGAAGTCATTTTATTGCTTTGTTCATTTAGCAAAATAATGAAGTAGGTTTTCCCCTAGGTCACTCAGTGTCAGGCAGCTACACTCCAGGGAAAGCTGTATGTCCAGGCATAGCTGCCTAACATAAAACAAACTCCATGTTTTGAGGACTTATTTTTTTTTGGGGGGGGTCTTTTAATTTTGTGTTGTTTAGGGTATTTTATTTTGTGTTGTCTGTTTTGAGGTTTTGGTCCTACTGATTTTATTGTTTGTTTTGATTTTCATTTCTTAGGGGTTTCACTTTGGATTTGGTAGGTTTTTTTTCTGTTTCTTTTGAGAGAGAGCACACAGGCAAACCTGAAGTTGGGTAGGTAGGGAGATGAAGAGGATCTGATAAATGGATGGGAGAGGGGAAAACAAGATCAAAATATATTGTACGGAAGCATTTTTAAAATTTAAAAAAAAAATGCACTAAGACTTTTATCTGATGTTTTTAAATTTCTCTACATACACGCTGATATTATTTTGGCAGACACCTTAAAGGGAGTTCTAGGTCTCCTAATTTAAAATAAGGAATGGGCTGGCTCAGTGGCCGGTTGTTGTTCTTGCAGAGCACCTGGATTCAATTTCCAGCATCCCCATGGTATTTCACAACCATTCATAATTACAGTTCCATGAGATCCAACCCCCTCTCCTGACCTCAGCATCCATGTGGTGCATAGACATACATGCTGGCAAAACATCCATACACATAAAATGAAATAAATAAATCTTTTAAATTTTAAAAAATAAAACAAGGGAAATAACTCAAGTAAAATTAATTTTGATCATGACATTTAAATTTTAGAAGACAATTGTGAAGATTTTTCTGGCTGAAATCAATGTAATGCAAAATTAGGGGGAGTGAAGGTCAAGTCAATTCAAGAAGCACCAAGTTTGGATTCAAATTATGAAAGAAATTAAACAGCTGCACTAATAGAAAATTGATAGCAGCATTTTTAATCCAATCAGTAATGTGCATTATATTCACATCTTTATGTATTTCCTTTACTTCTTCAAGATCAGATAAACACTTTCTTGTTATAAAATCCAAGTATTTCACTGCTTGGCAGTCTCAGGCCTGGCAATTCAATTTCCTTTATCTGTTATCCTTACTATATATGATTTTACATCTAACTGAGATATGCTACAGTACATAGGTCACCCTGTGTATGTTCAGTAACTAGGTGAGATGTTCAGTATATTCTCAACTAGGTGAGAAACATTCAGCTCTACTGAATGAACTACAACAGGAGAGTCACAAAACTACATTCCCTTTTCAGCAAACAGCAGCTTTACAGCCACCATCTCTGGGGAATGTATCTATTAACAAATGTAGGTGTGGAGAATATTCCCCATATGCTCACATGTCTGAATTCATGGTCCCCAGTTAGTAGAACTGTTTGGGAAGGATTAAGGGTTGTGGCCTTACTCATGTCACTGATGGAAACTTTAAGGTTCCATTAGCCTATGCCATTTCTGTGGGGTTGTTGGGTTTTGGTGGAGACATATTGTCTCTCTCTCTCTCTCTCTCTCTCTCTCTCTCTCTCTCTCTCTCTGCATTATGGTTGTGTCTCAAGATGTTAGCTCTCAGGAAATGCTCCAATACCAAGTTTATCTTCCTGATGCCTCACTCTTCACCATAATGGTCATGAACTGAAACTGTAGGCCCCAATTGATAAACTTTTCTGTAAGTTGCCTTGGTTGTGGTGTCTTGTTACAGCAATAGACAAGCAGCTAAGCCAGTTGACAACACTGAAGCACAGTGAACAATGTACACAAACAACATACAAAAGACTTGTAAGACAGGGAGAAGCCTAGTCCCAGTGCCTAGAGTGTGCATACATGAGGGTTGCAGAATATCACAGAATATAATTCTAATTTTTCATCCTCCATTTTGTAATAGTTAACTATCAATATACACATAAATGCCTACAAAATCACCCAAAGACAACAATCAAAGTTAACAATAGTTATTGCTGGTATTATACTGAGATAGAAATAGTGTCTGTGTGCTACAGCATATTCTTGTCCTCAATAATAATTCCGTAATTTTAATAATTAAGCTGAAGCCCAAAGTTTAACTTATTAAATGTCTAAAAGCTACTAGGTTATACAACTGACTATCAAACCCTGGTCATGTGATTCCCAGAGTTAACTACTGAGCCGGCAGGCAGGAGACTATGGCCATAGGACAAAGTTATGGACTGAAAGAAATTTAAGATAGATAATGCATCCATGTACACTGTATGTAGCGATCATAAGAGATAATTTCTACAATGGGAACATACAAAATCCAAATCTCATAAAGGTCCTTCCTGTTAATGTGGCCTGGTGAATGTGGAGCACACTCCTAATGGTAAAATTCCTACTATTTCAGGAACACACAATTATCTTTTATGATACCACCATTTCCAGAATGAGCACACCACAATCATGAAGTCTTCCAACATAAGATGAATTTAACAGCTCTCAATGAAGCATCAAAGTAGGCATTGGGTAGTGTTCATTAGCTTCAGAGACTATATCAAAGTGAACTAGGGATCTTCCTTGTTTTCACCAATAAAGGAAACAAAATGTCAACTAAATCAGATGCTGACTTCCTGGAGAAATCAGAAGACATCTGGTGGGTTGGTTTGCCATTTTAGAACAGTTAGAAATACTACCTAGATTATAAAATGATATCATTAAAGGGAACAGAGAAATAAAAGTCAGTAACTCACTACTGTAAGCAACAAGTAACAAGAGGGACCTGGGGTCAGATACAGAAGAAAGTTCTCAATAGTTCTTTAACTAAAAGGACCTGCTTGTGAATGAAATCAACCACTTAATACCCCAAGATGGTCACACTTGAAAATATTATTTGGAGAGCAGCACCAATAAACCATACGGACTGACATACAAAGAACTGGCAACACCCATGAGTGGCCTGCAAGCTGAGATACATTACAGGGCGCAGAGTGAATGTCTAGTTATGTGAGCCAGAGATGGTCCAATCACTCAGACATAAGCCTCTGTCACATTTCTAAGCATTTTTAAACATAAGAATCATCATATAAGGTAATAAAGTACAGA